TAGAAGACCTCATCCCCACCACCACCAACCTGTAATACACTAGCTAGCTTGTGTATTTCCATATTCCATTTCCGAGAGATAGATAGAGAACACGCGAAATATAAAGTGATTTTTCTTACAATCAGGGACCATAATTCATGAAGTTACGATTCGATATGCGCAAATATCGAAAGGAACCATATCTTTGGGTTATAAACATGCATGTCAAGTTTCATCAAAATCTTTCACTGTGAAAAACCGGGGCTAAGTCATCTGAAATCAAACAAATTTTACAATGTAGGTAGTGAAAACAAAATGTTATGTTAAGCGTTGTTCGAGGGTGGGGTGGGTGCATAAAATTCCAAATGCAAAGGGTTATTTTTCGTGCACGCCAATATGCACACAGGATTTCGATTTTTCGTCCTACCTAAAAAACTGCACGCAAAGTTAGTTGTCGGGCCTTCGGTCAAGAACCACAGACAAAGGGAGAGAACGGGGACCTCTGTTTTGCATACCATCCAAGCGACTAGGCACTAATCCTTGTACCATGGACGAGGGGACGGGCGTTTTTCGTCCCATCGAAACGACTAGACACAGATCCATGCTAGGCCTTCCATACTTCACCAGGGCTTTTATTGACATTTCAGAAAATGTAGAGTTGGTCCCATGCACTTGAGGCCAAGGTCCTTGAAGTTGTACAGCTGCACCCGGTGACCGATATTTATTTAACGGGGAATAAGTGATAATTCATATTATAACAGTAAATAATTAAAATATCCCATAGGGATTATAATAATATGTATATCATGTAGGTGTGCATGTAGGTTAAAATTGTGACCTCTGTAAATAGGCCCGTTCCTTGCATTTAGTTTTAGAGTTAGGAGTGCTAAAATTGAGAGAGCGAAATGGGGTTGATTGACCACTCGACACAAACTAGGTCATTTCGGGACTAACGTATGGTTCAATTTTATTTCAATAATTCGCTTGCGCGTAGGGGTCTAGCAGTGGGGGGAAACCGGGTGATCCTGAAAAAATACACAGGTTGGACGGGCGACCTACTCCTTGTCACGTACGGAAAGATACCCCAGCAGTCAAAATAGGTCAAAATAGGCGATTTCGGTTTCTAGTGTCGATGCATCGTTACGGTCAGTTTAAAAAATTGTCTTTTAAGGATAATGTGTATAGTACCAATACCTATCACATACGGAAGAGGCGATAAAATCTCTTTGCATTTCCAATTTCAAAATTAATTAAAACCAATATTAAATTCCGAAAATCGTTTTTTTGCTAAAACTCTTTTCTTTTTAATGTGATCAAAATGGGGGTAAAGCACAGAGTCAGGGGTGGTAATGGGCGTATTGTGTCCTAATTTCATGGTTTTCGGACAATCGGTGCCGGTGTCACGGCGAAATTCCACTTTTTTACCCTCATGGAAGCCGTAAATTGACGCAAGGAGTAGGGTCGCCTGTCCAACCTTGTGGGTTTTCTCCGGGTCCTCCGGTTTCCTCCCACTGCTAAAGACCCCTACGCGCAAGCGAATTATTGAAATAAAATTAAACCATATGTTGGTCCCGAAATGACCTAGTTTGTGTCGAGTGGACGTTAAACCCCATTTCTCTCTCTCTCTCTCTCTCTCCGTAAATTGACTTGAGGCCAGTGTCCTTTAAGTTGTACAGCTGCACCCGGTGACCGATATTTATTTAACGGGGAATAAGTGATAATTCATATTATAGCAGTAAATAATTAAAATATTTCATAGGGATTATAATAATATCTATATCTTGTCTGGGTACAGGGTTAAAACCAATATTAAATTCCGAAAATCGTTTTTTTGCTAAAACTCTTTTTTTTTAATGGGATCAAAATGGGGGTAAGGCACAGAGTCCGGGGTGGTAATGGACGTATTGTGTCCAAATTTCATGGTTTTCGGACAATCGGTGCCGGTGTCACGGCGAAATTCCACTTTTTTCCCCTCATGGAAGGCGTAAATTGACTTAGAAAAAAAACGACGAAAGGCAGGTGACAAGAACAAACGACATGAACGAATGCAGGTATCACCTTGAAATTTTCAGGGTACCTAGGTACCAACGTGAAAAGTTGCTCGCCGGAATTTAGTACTCATGGTACCTTTGGTTCCAGCGTAGCGCATGCGCGAAGTCAAATCCAGCTAAACTCGAAAACAACCTTGTCGGCACGGAAAACATCAAAGGAGAAATTCGAATAAAAAATGATACAATGATTTCACACAACAGGCCAGCTATTAGCCTCTCGATTGACAAGAGTTTCATCGCCCTCCATTCATTATAACCAATGTCATCGTGCCCTAAAGAATCAACAAATCAGCTTGCTTATCTCTGCTTACCCTAGGCAAAAAATGCTCATCTTTGAACTCAATCATGACATTGACCTAGTGAACGCCTACACCAAGTTTGAACATTCTAGCTTAATTAGAAGGAGAGTTCTTGTGTTCCAAAGTCCCGGCCCTTCAAATTGCTTCTATTTTTCATTTTCAATTCAAAATGGTGACCATCACGTGACCGAAATCAAAATTCTGATCCGATAGATTTTTAGGTATTCCTTCCAGGATTCCGAAAATATGACGCCCGAGTCTGTAAGTAAAATAGCAAAAAAGCCTTTTTGATTTTTCACGTTTAAAGATGGTGGCACTTCCGGTTCGATCGACAAACTCCATATTTTGTGTACTAATGAGTAATTACTTGTCTAGTATCGATTTTTTTTTTTAGGTCATTCTGACCTATATTTCGACGATTTTTTTGAAAACTTTGATCCTTAATTTCACCAAGGGGAGATAATTTAGAAAATTTCCAAGGACATCATTGAAGTCGCATTGGCAAGATCTACTAACATTCTAAATTTCACGAAAATCGCACAACTATTAAAGAAGTTGTCAAATTGGTAATAACTTCCGGTTCGAAATGACAGCGACGAATTTTCGAAATGCCAAAATCCGAAATTGCAGATTTGAAGTAAATGTTTCAAGATACTCAAAGAAAAAAGAATTAGTAAAATAGGTCAAATAGTCACAGAGTTACAGCATTGTAGGTCAAATGCATTCCTTCGTAAAATTCGGTGATTTCGGATTCGTAAAACGTTTTGAAAATATATTTAATCAACAGCCACCACCCATTTTTGGGGGGATAGGTGAAAGTTTCAGAACGATCCTATGGTTAGATTCTGAGAAATCCGATTTGTGGACAAAACACAAAAAAAAAACTAGATCTGCATAGCAGATATGAAAGCTTTCATATTAACTGCAAAGGGGGTTATTAGAATCTATTGAAACAATAAGTATAAATGTCATCAGGTATCTGAAAAATTACATTTACCTTATGAACAAAATGGGAAAAATACAAAACAAAAATTGTCGACTTGTGGCTACCATCCAAGGCATATTTAGAAAACCGTATATTATATTTATGGAGTACGCAGGACAGGAATTAGTTGTGCTTCAATGTAAACCGGCCCGTTTCTTGCCTTTAGTTTTAGAGTTAGGTGTGATTTTCAAAAGATTCAATCGGAAATCGCTGAAAATCAATTGGCTTCTTCATCTCATGACCTTAAACACTGTATAAATTTATGGTCAATCGGATATTGAATTTAGCTTCTAGAGCGTCCACAAGATTTTTTAAAGTGATCAAGGGCAATAACTCTCACGGTAATTATCGGAAATGGCAGTAAATATCAGATATCGCTGAAAATCAATACTGTAGGCATCTTCGTGTCATGACCATAAATTTAGAGTCAATCGGATATTAACTTTGGCCTCTAGAGCGTCCACAAGATATTTTGAAGTGATCAGGGGCCACAACACTGCGCATAAATTTAAAGTCAATCGGATATTAACTTTGGCCTCTAGAGTTTCATATTCACAGTCACTGTCACATGTCATAGAAATAATATGAACAGAAAAAAAAAAATCATTATAATGAGTAAAAATTTGGTGAAGTTAATTCGATTTTTCACTGGTAAATAATTAAATAGACAAGTGGCATAACTTGACCCGCATCCCATCAGCTATCCTGAAAAATGCTGGAAAAATTAAACAAGTAAATTGTGTTTAGTACTGGGTTAATTAAGACAGGCATATGCCTTTGCTATACAGGACGACATGAGGGAAATTTAGCTTGGGAGGTGTAGGCCTGCAGCCAAAATTTCTAGCTAGCTTAGAAACACAACTCCGCTACACGGTCTTCCATAAAAGAAAAACTATACATTTTTGGAAAGCTTATGATGCCAGGAAGACAAAATCTGGGAGTTCCAAGCAAAATGTTTTCAATTTATTGATTTAGGGCCAGATGAAATTCGTCAAAATTGTCAAATAAATGCTATTTGTGTACTAAAAGTTCTGAAGTTGACATAAAATTAAATAGTTGGTAAAACACCTCATGCCTTCATCCTTGGCAATGAACAGTTTATTGGACAGATTTTGATGTAAATAAAAATGCTCAAAACACAAATGTCATGGGTGAATAAAGAATTGTGGAAATCCATTAACGGTAAAAAAGAATTATCTCCCTTTCTGTCAAATGCCTGTAATTGATAGACTATCAGGTCTTGTATGAATCATAAGACCAGGTGTGGGCAAACAAGCCCAATAATTATTTTGTTTGTTGGATCTCAAGGGCCTGTTAGGGTTGGTTGTTGGATGTTTGCTCAGAAATTATCGCTTGTATGGAACATGCTAGAGTCGATTTGTAGCATATTCTAGCCAGGGGATATGTTTGACAGTAGTTGAGTGATATGCTTTTGAAATAATGGAGATCAGTAGCACTTTATAAGCATTGAACCACATGATTTTTTTCCACTAAGATAAACATTCTAAACCCACATACATGTTCCCTTTCAATTAGCCACTACAGTATTTTTACAACTGTACATGTAGCTGTGAACTACTATTTCGGATATGATTAATGGTCAAATTACAAACATACATGTAGATATAAGTTAAAAATAATTGTGTATCTGGGCTGGAATGAAGGGAAAGGTTAGAAAACAGGATGAACAGTTGTGAAATTATTTATTAAAGTGAAACAATCATTGAAAATCAAAATTAAACAGTTACTCTGCACATCAAATGTCATCAAAGTTAATCTTCATTATCATCATCACTGTCACTAAATGTATTAACATCAAATTCGGTCTCTTTAACAGTTTTTTTTCATTTTCACATTGACTACACATGCACAGGTCTGTACAAGAAAGGGGGGTTGGGATGGCCTAGAGTGCCGCGCTTCGACCTCTAGCTGGTCGGTCACCTCTGGCTTGTGGCTGTGGCTTTGATCCCAGGTGTGAGCGTATGTGGCATGGAGATAGAGGCGTCTTCTCAACCTCGTGGGTTTCCTCCGGGCACTCCGGTTTCCTCTCACTGCTAAAGGCCCATACGCGCAAGCGAATTATTGAAATAAAATTGAAACCGTATGTTAGTCCCAAAATGACCTAGTTTGTGTTGAGTGGACGTTAAACCCCATTTCTCTCTCTCTCTCTCTGTCTGTACAAGACAACTTTGCTGGCCATTTATGATTCTTTCTCTTATGACATCTTCACAGAATATATTGTATGTGGTTTAATATTCGACGGAGGGCTAGTCATCTTTGCTGAAAAATATAAATAAACATATACATGTACACAATTAAAACAAAATTCTGGAGCTTGGTTTACTCTCATTAATTTCGTACAACAGAGGAAAAAGACACTTACACAGGGGTTAACATCTTATTTCATGCAGAAACCAGCTAATGAAGACAGGAAGGCATTAGCAGTACAAGGAGAGATAGAGAGGAGAATTGCGGTTTAACGTCCACTGGACAAAAACATAGTAATTTCAGGACTCACCCATGGTTCAGTTTTATTTGAATAATACCAGTGGCAAGAAGGCGGAGAATACAAATAAAAAAAACATCACAAATATTTACCTTTCTGATAACTGTCTAAGAAATTCAGTACATGTATATTGCCTATAACATTTTTGGTGATATCTGACCTCAATGGCCACACAATCTTGCCCTCTGATATGCCTTAAAATATCTTCATCCTCTTTCAATTCAGCAGCTTTCAACAGTTGGCCTACAAACAAATTTGCAAACAAATTATACACCATATAGCGTTGAATGTTGTTTGTGCTCAAGGGTGGGGGAGGGAATGTCACTTTGAGGCCTACATGTACATGTACCTGGCTGGTCAACTCTGGCATGCGGTTTAGTTCAGATCCTTTGTGTGAGCGGAAATGGTCTAGAGACAGATCGTCTTAGCAAGGCACCTACAAGTGGGCCAAGAAAATAAAAAACAAGTTAACTTCTCTATGTTTCATCCCTTGTGCAAGCAAATGTGCAACACTTTAACCAATGACTGTGCCAAATCAACAAATGGGGTAAAGGGCTTTACTGGCTAGCTTCATAACAATTTTACAGTGATTGCAGTAGCACTTCTGATTCCATTTACAACAAAAACAACAACACAATAATTAAAAACTGTAGGATGAATATATTTAATATTTATTAGTAATAATTATAAATTTAGTAAGTAACATAATATTAACATTAGGCCTACCTGAGCCTGTTTGGGTCTGAGTCTGTGTTAATACACCCTTCTTCCTATTTTCTCCAACAGTGACAAATCTGTCACGTTTTTTACATATAATACACACAACAGGCAGCACCGATTTACTCTTTCTTTTTGCTTCAGGAGCGTAATTTGTTTGGAGAGCTAGGTCCCAGATCGTCTACACTCCCGCTATTCCCTGGTTGGATTGTAGCCGGGGATTTTAATTTTTCTTTATCTATACGATTATTCTATCTATATACATTTGTACAGATATATTTGTATCCATAGATATATATTTGTATCAATACATTTAATTTTGTTGTTTGAAATAAGGGGGGGGGGGGTGAATGGTTAGTATGTGCGCGCTGTATCATAAGGTCTGCCATTTAGTGAACTGGTGTGGTTTCAAATCCCCAGTTGTACGTGGCAAGGAGTAGGGTAGCACGTTCATCCTTCGAGGGTTTTCTCTGCGAACTCCAGTTTCCTTCCATTGCTAATGACCCATACGCACAAGCAAATTATTGAAATAAAATTGGACCATGTGTTAATGCCAAAATACCTAGTTTCTGTCGAGTGGACTTAAACCCCATTTTTCTCCGTCTTCTGATTGAAATATGAATACCACATCATTTATTGTCATTTTATATATTTATTATGTAATAATGATTTTTCTCTGCATTAATTTTTCTTTGTGTGGATACACTATAATACAACAGCTGGCTGAAAAGTTCTAGATCTGAAGAGGAGAGATTTAATTGGCTTTTACCACCACAAGTAGAATCATTGAATGAATCATAGACATAAGACCTGCAGCTGAAGTGTTATTATTGTATTTGTACCAGACAATCTTGTGAACCTACCCATTGAAATCACCAAAAATGGACAGAACTATCTATATGGCAGTCATCAAGTATCTGCAACTGAAAGTCCTAACCCAAACATTGAAATATGTGGATACGGTCTCCACTATAGGAGACAATGGCCCTTCCTTTTCTGCACTAAAGAAGTGGTTGCAGGAGGTACTTGATCCAGTGACATCCAGTGACAATCTTTGCTGTTTTCAATATTTCCTAAAAAAATTTTAGCCAGATTTTTAAACATAGAGGAGACCTGGATTCATCAGTTTCAACCAGAATGCAAAATTCAATAAAAAAACAATGGAAGCATCCAGACTCGCAAGTCCCCAATCAAGCCAGGTCAGTTCTTTCGACTGGACAGGTGATGGGTTCACTCGTTTATGATTCCTAAACTATTCTGCTGATTGACTACCTTAAAAACAGCCAGACTATCAATAGAAGTATTATAAAGGTGTTCTATTCAAACAATACTTCTGTTCATAAATGGGTGATATCATTTTCCCTCTATGATTACGTCATGTCAGCTGTGATCAATTTTTTAAGGGTAACTGAAGATAATTTCTTCCTGGCAGACATCAAGGCCATGCAACATCATTAACTAAAGAGTGAGAGTGTACACTTCAAAAGTGACTACATAGAAAAATAAATGGAAACAATGGACTTTATACAATTCTATACAGTTCTTTCACAGATGGGTTTAGAATTTTTCAGCCAGCTCTCAATAGTTATTGAAATTGAATTATTTGTTTTGGTTTGATACATGATATTATAATTATTCTTACATTGTTTGTATTCTATTTTAATAATGAACATTAAAACATGCTAATATTTGTTCATCCTTGCTGTATTGGGTTGGATGGCCGAATGGTTAGTGTGTGCATGCTGTATCATACGGCCTGCCATTAAGTCAACTGGCGTGGTCTCGAATCCCTGGTTGTACGTGGCAAGGAGTAGGGTCACCTGTCCATACTCCTGATTTTCTCCGGGTACTCTGGTTTCCCCCCACTGCTAAAGACCCCTACGCGCAAGCAAATTATTGAAATAAAATTAAACCATATGTTAGTCCCGAAATGACCTTGTTTGTGTTGAGTGGACGTTAAACCCATTTCTCTCTAATTATGTTTTGCATACAATGTATAAATACAAATGTAAAGGATGTAACTTTAAAATAGAAGAAAATCAAATATTTTTAATATTAAACAATTGCTTTGTTCTTATACTTCTACAATCATTCTCATGTTGTTCATTTTGCCATATTTTTGTTTATTCATTCATATGTCTTCTATATAATGATGCATAGTATAGTACACTATGTTAAAAAAATACTAGAAATGTATGTTTCTTTATCACCAAATGATTTATGTAAGTTGTGAAGTAAAACAGTTGAACATTAAATCCCATTTCAATTTATTTGCATGAGGTGAAGAGAAATAATGGTATTGAACAATTGACTATTCATGAAAGATACTAAAGAGAACTTTATTAATTTATACATACTTTTGCTAATTTTATTGTTATATCTTGGTAGTAACATACCAATATAAATAGTAATATTGTTTCTAGATGAAGACTATTATAATTGAAATGAAATGGGATTTCACATCATAATGCTATGCACGGACTGGGCTAATAATGACAAAAAACTACAATGAATACAATAGTATAAAATGTTGCTATGAAATTAAATAAATGTTGTATACAATAATTAACCGGTTTAATACTATATTATACATAAAAGTGAATGAAATTCAATGTTTACTATTTTGCTTTATACATGAATATCACAGGTCAAATTATTGAAATAAATAATGCAAATAGATTATGATTTGAAACATCCTGTATGTCATTGTTCTATTTGTTATATAAGACTACATGATATAAACTTTTTGATAAGCCTCTTTTATCATATTTTGAACCAATGGAATAAAGAGCAAAGACCTAGAATATATTGTAAATATAATCAGGTTTTTGATCAACTGATCAAAGGAAAATATTGCGAATAAATTTGTTGTACTGCTATTGTAAAGAAATCATCATTGTTTTATTTGATATTTAGAATACACATAATCGTGTATATATTTGAAGTTAAGAGCAATTATGATTAGTGATACCTGTATGACCAACTCTCAAAAGATAATCTCATTAAACCAAGTACTTTTTTTCATTTGTATTAGTTGATTTATACTGAATAAAGATAACACAAACAAACAAAAATGAGTTGGCTGTGTGAACACCTCAATGACAAGTGGTATCAGATGCCTCAGAGAGAATATTCAAATGCTCCTTGTGATACGTTTGTAACACAATTATAACCTAATGTATTACACGGGAGTGGAGTGGGTGAGTCGGGGGGCTTTTCGATTGGCAGGGGACTATTAAAATGGGTAAGCAGAGATAAGCAATTTGATGAAACTTTGTGTATAGTTTCATTACATTAGTACCTTGACCATATTACCTTGACCAAGTTCGACAATGAGCATTCTCTTAGTCAGGATAAGCAAAGCAACTTGATTGGCCGGGACTTTGAATTGGTTGATGCTTTGGGGTATGATAACTTTGGTTATAATGAAGTACTGGAACATAACAACCCAGCTTTTAATTGAGCTAGAATGTTTAAACTTGGTGTAGATGTTTATCAGGTCTTGACTGAACATTTTGAGCTACAGCTTGGCAATTTCATATTTTTGTTTATTCATTCATATGTCTTCTATATAATGATGCATAGTATAGTACACTATGTTAAAAAAATACTAGAAATGTATGTTTCTTTATCACCAAATGATTTATGTAAGTTGTGAAGTAAAACAGTTGAACATTAAATCCCATTTCAATTTATTTGCATGAGGTGAAGAGAAATAATGGTATTGAACAATTGACTATTCATGAAAGATACTAAAGAGAACTTTATTAATTTATACATACTTTTGCTAATTTTATTGTTATATCTTGGTAGTAACATACCAATATAAATAGTAATATTGTTTCTAGATGAAGACTATTATAATTGAAATGAAATGGGATTTCACATCATAATGCTATGCACGGACTGGGCTAATAATGACAAAAAACTACAATGAATACAATAGTATAAAATGTTGCTATGAAATTAAATAAATGTTGTATACAATAATTAACCGGTTTAATACTATATTATACATAAAAGTGAATGAAATTCAATGTTTACTATTTTGCTTTATACATGAATATCACAGGTCAAATTATTGAAATAAATAATGCAAATAGATTATGATTTGAAACATCCTGTATGTCATTGTTCTATTTGTTATATAAGACTACATGATATAAACTTTTTGATAAGCCTCTTTTATCATATTTTGAACCAATGGAATAAAGAGCAAAGACCTAGAATATATTGTAAATATAATCAGGTTTTTGATCAACTGATCAAAGGAAAATATTGCGAATAAATTTGTTGTACTGCTATTGTAAAGAAATCATCATTGTTTTATTTGATATTTAGAATACACATAATCGTGTATATATTTGAAGTTAAGAGCAATTATGATTAGTGATACCTGTATGACCAACTCTCAAAAGATAATCTCATTAAACCAAGTACTTTTTTTCATTTGTATTAGTTGATTTATACTGAATAAAGATAACACAAACAAACAAAAATGAGTTGGCTGTGTGAACACCTCAATGACAAGTGGTATCAGATGCCTCAGAGAGAATATTCAAATGCTCCTTGTGATACGTTTGTAACACAATTATAACCTAATGTATTACACGGGAGTGGAGTGGGTGAGTCGGGGGGCTTTTCGATTGGCAGGGGACTATTAAAATGGGTAAGCAGAGATAAGCAATTTGATGAAACTTTGTGTATAGTTTCATTACATTAGTACCTTGACCATATTACCTTGACCAAGTTCGACAATGAGCATTCTCTTAGTCAGGATAAGCAAAGCAACTTGATTGGCCGGGACTTTGAATTGGTTGATGCTTTGGGGTATGATAACTTTGGTTATAATGAAGTACTGGAACATAACAACCCAGCTTTTAATTGAGCTAGAATGTTTAAACTTGGTGTAGATGTTTATCAGGTCTTGACTGAACATTTTGAGCTACAGCTTGGCAATTTCATATTTTTGTTTATTCATTCATATGTCTTCTATATAATGATGCATAGTATAGTACACTATGTTAAAAAAATACTAGAAATGTATGTTTCTTTATCACCAAATGATTTATGTAAGTTGTGAAGTAAAACAGTTGAACATTAAATCCCATTTCAATTTATTTGCATGAGGTGAAGAGAAATAATGGTATTGAACAATTGACTATTCATGAAAGATACTAAAGAGAACTTTATTAATTTATACATACTTTTGCTAATTTTATTGTTATATCTTGGTAGTAACATACCAATATAAATAGTAATATTGTTTCTAGATGAAGACTATTATAATTGAAATGAAATGGGATTTCACATCATAATGCTATGCACGGACTGGGCTAATAATGACAAAAAACTACAATGAATACAATAGTATAAAATGTTGCTATGAAATTAAATAAATGTTGTATACAATAATTAACCGGTTTAATACTATATTATACATAAAAGTGAATGAAATTCAATGTTTACTATTTTGCTTTATACATGAATATCACAGGTCAAATTATTGAAATAAATAATGCAAATAGATTATGATTTGAAACATCCTGTATGTCATTGTTCTATTTGTTATATAAGACTACATGATATAAACTTTTTGATAAGCCTCTTTTATCATATTTTGAACCAATGGAATAAAGAGCAAAGACCTAGAATATATTGTAAATATA